TATATATATATATATATATATATATATATATATATATATATATATATATATATATATATATATATATATATATATATATATATATATATATATATATACATATATATATACATATATATATATATATATATATATATATATATATATATATATATATATATATATATATATATATAATTATATATATAATATATATATATATATATATATATATATATATATATATATATATATATATATATATATATATATATATATATATATATATATATATATATATATATATATATATATATATATAAACACAAAAATACTAACATAGGATACTCATTACTGGCCTGTTCGGGTTTTAAAACAAAATATTTATTTTTTTCAATTAAAGCAAATGACAAGATCATGTCATTTGTGTAAGTGCATTAGTCTGTTTTGTGAAAATCAGTTTACTTTATCAATGCAATTAATATGACCTCTTAAACTCTATTAGGTCAAAAGAATATAAAACATGCAAGCTTTGTATAAGTAATGGTGTCTCGTGTTATGTTTAATTTTTCTGTTTTTTTTTTATATTTATATTTTTAATTTTAAATATATTTCCTCTTTATACGTTGTCATTCTTTAGTAAGTACTTTATAAAAAAAAGTAGTTAAAAGAAGTAATTGCTTTTTAATTAATTTGTTTAGTACAAATCTATTAAAAGGAGCTTATGTGAGCACCCCTATTACACTATTTTTAAAAAAAAAGGAAATACGTCATGGAAGTGGTTTGAACGAGGCTTATCTTTGACAAGTTTGATTGTAGGAGAAAGCGGACTAGGCTTTCATAGTGGTTTAAAACATAAGGAAAAAGAACATACTATAGCGTGGGTTGATGTCTATAGAATAAAGATAATCCAACCGCAGCTACGGTAATCTTTTTTTTTACAAGACAACCATCAAGTAAAAAATGAAAGAAAATTATTTTTTTTTACTATGAAAAAAAATTATTATGGTCGGCTGTGGGCCCCTAAATGTTGTGGGCCCCCCGCATTGCGGGGTCTGGCGGCACTGTAGTTCCGCCCCTGTATATATATATATATATATATATATATATATATATATATATATATATATATATATATATACATATATATATATATATATACATATATATATATATATATATATATATATATATATATATATATATATATATATATATATATATATATATATATATATTCATAAGAGAAAAAATAATTGAGTTGACATAGACACATGTCTCTTATATTCTAATAATAACTCATTAAAACATAATATTGATATAATATAATAAATTTACCATAATCATCATCATAGACACATTCTTACCTCCCCTTCTATCTGTTTCTATATTATCACTGTGGCTTGTAGTGAGTTCAGAATCCAAATGTTTTAGACTGTTCCAGTCACCTACTTAAGACTAATTATAATATTAATAATAGTAACGCAAGCACTTCAAACTCAGAAGTGTTTGCTATTTTAAGATATTTACATTATATTTTCTACATTACAAAATGCATTAGAGCCACAACACATATATTTACCTTCATCTTTTTTTTCCAAATAAACTTGTTTCTGATTGCAACTGTTAATATAAATGAATACAAAATATTAATTTGAGTAATATTTACAACATAAATGATGCATAGATGTTAAATATTCTTAACTATTTATAATCAAAGGCCAAGATTGAGCTTTCATCATTGCTAACAATAACGTGAATAATGCTATGAATAAAGTACCAAAAACACTGTAAAAATACATTTATTTAAAACATTATACTTTAGTGACATTAGTATTAAAAATAAAATATTTTAAATTTGTAGTTACCATATTGGTTTTAGATATTTCCTCGACTGTTTCATATAGCAACAGACTGAGCAGAAGAAAATTTAAATTTTTTTATTACACAAATGTACATTTATAGTTATTTATTTATTGAAATCAAATAAAATAAAAAATTGCAAAGTTAAGAGAATTATATGTATTTCTATTCTTACCTGCAATTGAAATGACCAAATTCAAGCCTACAGTGGATGCACAGACAATTACTGTGCAAAAGGAAACTGTGCAAAAAGTCTACTGACCATAGTCAAAAAATGAAAATAGAAAGTGTATGGGCATGTCACACGAACAAACGGCCAATACAAAAAAAAAAAAAACAAGTTATAAAAAGTCTAGTGACAATTTAAGCGCAATTTCCTTAATTAATTTTTGTTCTAAATTATGGCAATTGCGATCATTAATTCGTTATTTCTAGATGGATGGATGGATGGATGGATGGATGTGTGTCCGCAGCTTTAAGTCGTATCTCCTCCTCAACGAAGCAATATCAAGGACTACTTCCAAAAGCAAATATGTTAAGCACGTTCCGAGGATGATTGTGGGCCAAAAAAATTCCCGGAATTCCTTCCTGGATTTCCCGGAAAAGCCAAAAAACCTCACAAAAATACAGATTTTTTTGCCCATATCTCGGCAACCAGACCACTTAGCGACTTGAAACATTTATCAATCGATTCCTGTCATAATTTAAAACAATATTGCCGAAGAAAGATTTCAAAAATATCCTTTCTTTCGGTCACAAAAAATTAATCAAGGAAATTGCGCTTAAATTGTCACTAGACTTTGTATTAACTTGTTTTGATTACGTTGACGTGGATTGTAATTGGGACTGGTTAGGGTTATGGTTATATATATTTTCTCAAAAGGTCCATATTTACATATAAATATAAATATATATATATATATATATATATATATATATATATATATATTTAAATATATATATATATATATATATATATATATATATATATATATATATATATATATATATTTAAATATATATATATATATATATATATATATATATATATATATTTATATATTTATATATTTATATATTTAAATATATATATATATATATATATATATATATATATATATATATATATATATATATATATATATATATATATATATATATATTACTTTTACAAATATATGTGTGTTTATACACACATATATTTGTAAAAGTAAAAGTAAAGATCCCTTTTCAAACCTGTCAGTCTTTTGGGCAAGTGAAGTAGAGTTCACTTGTTTCGTGACATATGAAGAGATAGTGTGGTCAGAACTATGCCCAGACGCATTTGTTTTACTTTAATGTGAGTTAGGTACCCATTAAAGTAGGGTGGACTCAGGGACGGTCTACTAACATGAACCCAGATTCGAACTCGAGACTTACGGGTCAGCAGTCCAGCTCTGTACCGTGAGACCACTCCGTCCCACACATGTAATTGTATAGACATTTAATTTGAAATTTAATGTATTTCCAAAACCAAGGCCAGAAATTGCTGCTTAATAAACACACCAGTCTTGGTCCTTAACAGAAAAGTTTTTCACACTTGCTAGTGAAGTGCCTGGCCAGATGGTATTTTAAATAAGTTACATTTGTGTGTTTAATATCTTATTACAGGTTAAGTTATAAATTATTTTTAAACTTCATAATGGGAATTCTCAATTAGAAACACTCTTTTAATCAATTTTGCTAGACTAATTAATTTGGGATGCGGATTTTAATTTAATTAATGATAAAACCAACATGGTTCATCTTTTCCTGTTCATGCCCAAGACATACGGGGAAGATGAAGTAGAGTTAATCTGTTTCAGAGAACTCAGCATATGAAGGCATAGTGTGGTCAGCACTAACTCTAGCCTTTAGTATTAGGTACCCATCAGAGCTGGGTGAACTCATGGACTTCTACTGATTTGAACCCGAATTCGAACTCAACATTTATGGGTTGGCACTCTAGCCCTCTACTAGGCTGCATGTCTCCAATTCCTAAAATAGTTGATTAATATTAAGTCTAGTTCTCTACCGCTAGGCCACGCCAAGCAACAAAGTTCCACCAATAAAAATAAAAAAATGTATTATTTTAATGCTATGTTGGAATTATTTTCAGTTCAAATAACATTGCAAGACATGAAGCAAAGATATTTAAGAAATGCAAATATTCTCATATTAACAATTAATAGAAATGCAACAAAAAAATATGATTGGCACATTATATATCATAATAGTTGAGTATTTCCTTACAGCACCAACTGTATACACTATTACAAAAATTTAAAAAATTACATTACATTCCTGGATAATTAAAAATGAAAAAAAAAAATGATTGGCACATTATATATCATAATAGTTGAGTATTTCGTTACAGCACCAATTGTATACACTATTACAAACATTTAAAAAATTACATTAAAATACTGGGTAATTAAAAATGAAAATAAAATAATGCTGCTTATATTGTTTTAAGTACTTGTTAAAAAAAAGGTTGCCTGGAGTATTAGTACACAGAGTCATGATAGTGAAAAATCATCAACTTGACCAAAACTCATCATATTTAAAAAAACACACATTGTTTTGGAGTGTTCTGAACATTAATTAAAACCTTTCTTTGTCCTTTAAAGAAAATTAATATATTACTTACTTGTGCAGGAGTATAAAGGCTTAAAATGGAACATTATTTTGATTGTATATATAAATTTTAGAAAAATATATTTCTTGTTATTCTATTTAGGAATACAGAGATCATTTATATGTATAGTGACTAGAAAAGCATGCAAACCATTTTATATTCCTTAAAGTAAATATTTACTTTAACTAATTAACATATTTTTATATTTTTTTTTGCATATTTCAATAAATGGGATACTGTAAATTTTATAATTGCAAATTTTCGTTTTAACTAAATTAATAGCAAAAACAGTTAGTTTAAGCATGTAAAAGAGAAAAAAAAATATTTTGCATAAAAAAAATAATATAATTATAAAAAACAAACACCTAAAATCTAAAAGAACTTCAATTAACAATTAGATATATACAACCAGTGGGTCATGCAGTAAAATTACACCACTTTAATCATTTGCATTGGAAGGCATGTAATTTTTCATTTTATTTCTTTTTAGTGCTTGGCTGCATACACTTTGTTTATGCATAAAAAATGATGCATAATTGTGAATCTCATAATGCTAAATAAAAAACATTAAATAAGCTAATGTATTGGATTGATTACATTCAGCCTATCTTAACAAAGTTAGTGACATCATGGTAGAAGGTCACTACTCCAATGACAAGCCAGGTTAATTAAACCACTGATCCGACATCATGGTAAACAAAGTAATATCATTTATATCAAGGGAGCTGAGTGACTTTCAAAGCTATATATTGATTGAAAGTAATTCTACATATAAATAAGGCACATGATTGACAACATTAAGTGTAAACTTTTTACTAGGCCAAATGGTCCACAGTTAAGGAGCCAGAGAATTATTTACTGAAGAAATGTAATACACATCTCATGGTATACTACACAAGACCAAATTAATCGACTCAAGGCAACCAATTATCAATGTGAAAATTAAAAAGCAATTTACCTTTTAACTTGAAAAACAAAAACAGAAAAATAAACATTTTTTCCTTAGATGGTGTGTAAAGACTACACCTTGATTTAACAAATCAATAAACAGGACATAAAATATACTGTAACCACAGACAATTTCAGTATCAAATTAAATAATATATTCAATAGGAATGTAAACCTTAACAATAACAAGATACAAAAACACACCAAAAACAATTTTTTTCTGTTACTTTTAGGGTACAAAGGTTTACGGGCAAGTTAAGAGGACTTTTAACCCTGTCAATTACTCTCCTCCCTGCTCAAATCACCCTGCCCCCAGACAATTACCAACTGACCCTGTAAGTATTAGGGATCATCACGATCATCTCCCAATGCCCATTGGCATGAAGAAGTCATTGTCATTTCATCATGTCTCTATAACCTCTGCCTGTTGGGATGTAAGGCCTCCTTTCTTCATCTCCTTGTCATTGATAATCTCTTCATTTTTTTTTGATCGATTGAATGTTCTTTTTAACTCCTCATTTGAAATGGTACTTGGCCAGAAGATTAGATTCTAATGTTTGTTGCAAGCACTTCTTCTGAAAACCATTTTTGAGGATTCTAAAATAATATGTAGGCTTATGATTTCCTTATATTTGTCACCATACCAAAGGATTGGCCAACTTTCCCAATTATATTTTTGTTCTTCCTTTTATAAGCAATTTCCAACATCTGTTGTTACTCCTCTTCCCAAATAGATGTATTACCCGACTTTTTCCATCCATTTTTTTTTCTAAGCTGAGTGGTTCTTTGACTTGGGCATCAATTTTCAAAGACTTCAGTTGTTCAAATGTTAATCAATTCACCATACTTTGCCTAGCTAAATACCTTCTGTTGAACACCCTGGTGGGTTCTAAATAGCAAACTCAGATAAAGAGCATGGCTCAAGTTCTCTCAGATGAATGTCAATGTCCATTGAAGGCCTTGTTTTCCATTTACCAATCTATAGCCTATTTTGATTATGTAATCAATATGGCTTTTACTATCAGGTATTTGTTTCCATTGTAACAGTTTTTTTTTAGCAGTTTTCCTGTCTGGAATGATGCCATATTAAAAATGCTATTATATAAATGGGCACCAGGAGATCAGATATCAGAACAGCGATGTCATTATGACTTTGATCCCCGCTCATCATGTGACCAGTTGTCTAGTCTTCATCTCCCCAGCACCATTTGAAATTTTGTTTTTACTTGTTGTAGTTTCCATAGCAAAGCTTTTTGTATAAGATAGAGTTGATAGCCCAAAGCTTATGTTCCTCCTTCATCTAATAGTTGACTAATTGAGAGAGGATTAGGTTCACCTAGCTCGGATGAGTACCTAAATCACATTAGGGAAAGTAAAGCAGTGTTGAAACAGGTGAACTCTACCTCACCTGACCCATGGATTATCAGGCTGGAAACAGTACTTTACTTCCTTTAGGTTCAGGATAGATAAGGTATAAATATAATATTCTCTCAGTAAGATTGGTGTGTTATTGTAGGGAGTAACTTTATACAATTAACTGGCAGTGAGTAAATATTCAGATCCCAGTGTTAGTTCGAAGTTCATGGCCAACTAACATTTTAGATGTACAGTGCCTATTGAAGAATGCTCAACTGTCAGATTATAGGCTATATTAAAAAATAGCCAACAGCAACAGCAAAAAAAATGTTCAAAGAAAATATTACACATTGATTGAAATATCATAAACTTCTCTGGAGTTGACTGTAGTAGTTTCATTCAGATTTGGTCGACTAGTCACAGCACAGTTGTTGTTTGCATTGTCATTTTCATCTAAAAATAATAGGATTTATAAACATTAGGGTGTACAATGCTGCATTTAAAATGCTGCAAACATGCTGCATTTAGAAACCTTATCCAAAGAAATCAAAGTTATTATTAAGTTGATGTCAAAACAAGTTTAAAAATTAAAAGAAGAAAAATTCTAAAAATTACAAAACTAACATATTAAATATTAGGGTAAAAAACTTACTTTGAATAAAAAAAAAATTTCCATAAAAAAAACATTTTATTTTATATTTACATTTCGCATAAGGTAATAGAAATCTAGTATTTTTACTTTCTCGTATATATGAAGTATAGAGAAATTATTGTACCATGCACAAAAATAACATGAAATTTTGAAAGTTTTCACCATTTTACTACTCAGTCCTTCATCACATCCAGAGTATAGAGGACTTATTTAAACCAGGCAAAAATTATAAATACAAATATATAAACATTTTGGCGTTTTATGCATTATCGAGTCGTAAAAACTGGACTTTGCAATTCTGTTCGTTGTCTGTGTGTGTGTCTGTCTGTGTGTAAACACGATAACTTGAGTACCGTTACAGCTAGGTTGATGAAATTTCATATTAAAGTATTTTATCAAAATCGTAGATCCGTATCAACCTTTGAGCGATTTCAGATAACCGGAAGTGGGACTTCTTCTACTTTGAATATTTCAAAAGCCTATAACTTGAGTACTATTTCAGATAAATAAAATTTCACATGTAAGTAAAAGATCTAATTCTCTACCATCTGTCAAATTTTGAGTAATTTCCGTTGATTGGAAGTACTAATTTACGCTATTTCCAATTTCTCAAAAAACGAAGGTAAATTAAGACTAATAATATTCCACTATTATACACTTTTTATTTGGCGTTCACATATGTACAATTCATTTTTCTACGAGATTTTATTCTATTTTAAAAAGTTTAAGTATTTAAAATGGATTAAAATTCATGTCTATATCCCGAGTTCCCATATTCGAGAAAGTTTAGGGGGGATCGCTCCCGGTTTATTATTTTTTTTAATATTAAATATTTAAATAAATGCAGAGTCATGTAAACATAATAAATTAAATCTGCATAAAAGTAAATACATAAGAAATTTAAATAAGAGTATCTTTTGGATACAAATCAAATGAAGAATAAAGTAAAAAACTTAAAAATTAGATATTTTAGTCATTACCTTCTAGTTTAAAGTATTCACTTTCTTCATGCAAGTCTATAACTTTGAAAACTTGTCGTTTTTCCTGCCTTTCCACATAGTTCATTTCTTCTGGGTCAGCTGATTCTTCATTGGTGAAAAACAATTAAGTTTTCATAGTCTTACATTTTTTTTTCTCAACAATTTACATAATATTCATACAATATAATAAATTTACAAGTCATCATCATAAATAGACACACATTCTTACCTCCCCTTCTATCATTGAGGGTGGTAGTGGGTTCAGTATCCTCATGTCTCAAACTTTGTTCATTGTTGTCGTCACCTATTCAAGATTAAATATTATATGGATAGTACTAGTGCAAGCACTTACATATTAAAAAATTGTTCCTTGCTTTAAAATAGATACCTTTGTCCAAATTTCTTTGGCTGATTATACTATTTAGTTTTGTATTTCTAAATACATTAGAAAATGCATATAAAGTCACAACATATATATTTACCCTCATCTTTTTCCCCCGAATGTTGGCATACTTGTTTCTGATTGCAAAAGCTAAAAGAAATACTAATTTCAGTAATGTTTTCAATATTTAAATTTTAAGATGCATTGATATTAAATATTCATAATAATTAATGGCAAAAGACTGAGCTTTTATTATTGTTAACAATACAATTAGTGTGGTTATGAATAAAGTACCAAATAAACATACATGGGATACTGTAAAAAATACAACTATTTAATTTTTTTTTACATTATCCCCATCAATTACGCTGGACATTTCCTCCCACCGACATTACCACCCCCACCCCCACCCACCCCCAGTAAATTACCCAGTAGGACATTAGCCCTAAGTTATTTACTGATAAAAGCGATAGAGATAGATTAAGGATACATTAGGGCTAGCTATAAGATAATGTTGAGGGGGGGGGGGGGAATTGTTAACAGGGGTCCTAGACCCACTTTAGTGACATCAGTATTTTAAAAAAAAATTATTATTTTAAATTTATATTTACCATATTGGATATTTCCAGCACTGTTTCCTACAATAACAAACTGAAAAGCAAAAAACATATTGTACAAACTTACAAATATAACTCTTAATTCATTTAGTACTACTGTAAAACTACATAGTTGCTTGGAACAGTGTTTTTTAAATGACTGTTTATAATTTAATAAAATAAGAAGTTGTGAATTATTTATGTAATTCATTAGAACTCTATATTTTTTACCTGCAAATAAAGTAGCTAAGACTGTAATTATGCCTATACTGCATATAGGGCCTATAATGCTGGCCTGTACTAAGGCTTTCACTGAAAAAAATTGCCATAATAAATGTGTTAAAAATACTGCCAAAAACGGTATTGTTAAATTGAGTGACAAGTTAAACTAAGCCACCTTTCCTCTACTCCATATTTTAATGATATAATGACCTTAAGATATAAAAAGTTTATTTTTATTCAATGAAATAGATACAAGATGTCACCAATGGGAAATGGGTATTAGAACTGTAGGTGGGGATAGATAGGGGGTGAATAGAGGGTGAAGAGGGATCTTTAAAAACCTAGTTTGTCGTAAAGTTTAGAAAATTACTTGCAATACAGAGATTACTAGCCATATTTTCTTGGATAATTGTAAATAAACAAATAAAGTGAAATTAAGTGGAATTATAAATCAATCACTGGCTCAAAAATTATGTTAGTAAAAGCTATGTTAATCAGCTTCAAAAAGTTTAGCAATTATCCATTTAGCACATTGGTCATTTCGTTCAGGTGACAATATTTCAATATAGGTGGGTAGGTTAGTTTATAAAAAAGGTCTCAACTTGCACCTTAATAACCACCACTACATAGTACAATTTTGGCTTTCAAGTTAGTAATTATGCTTACTTTATCTTACAACATACACATTAGATTAAAATATAAACATATTGTGACATTTTAACTGCAGTAATGTTTTTACAGGCTGAAGGAATTATAAGTGCCATGGCTAGTTAATCAAATGTAATTAATATAAACCTGTTTAGATTTTCTATGCCAGAAATGAAAAATTATAATCATCTTACAATTCAAAAGTGAGCTTTTGTAAAATAAACTTTCAATAACATCTGCATCAACACGTTATGAAACTAATGAATTAGAAAATGTTTTATAAGACAAGAAACAATAGAAATGCAAAACATGGAAATGAAATGGTGATGGGTTTGTCAATCGTTCTGGATGGATACTGGCAGCAGAGTCACATGCCTTGGAATGGAACAAATGACACAGAGGTCTACCCAAAATGACATGGCACTGTAGGGTGCTGGAGAAGGGTGAGAAAAAACAGCTGAAAAGTGTGGCAGGAGAAGATTGGAAAACCTTGACACTCTCCCAAACAATGTTTTTTTTTAAGAAGTATCTACTGTTGTGGACAACTGCAACAAAATTCTATTGATGAGAAAATACTTATACCTAGATGTAAAAATCCATGTTTTATTCAATTCTATATTTTGTTTCTTTTAAAAGCTGTTATTTTATAAAATTTAAAAACAGCTGTTTAGCAAATACAATAAAAAATGGATATCATTGTAGAGTTTCTATTTTTAGTATAAATGTACACCATTTGATGATTATGAAGTGTAAAGGAAAAAAAGGGGTTTTAGGTAGCCAATATGTTTGAAATTAATCATCTACTACTTGAATATAATATAGTGTTTTCTTTTTTTTAGTGTTTTATTAAAAGCTTTGCATAGTTATTTAGTTTAGAAAGTATTAAACTTTTGTTTTTAAAACACACTTTACTGTATAAATAAAAATGTATCAAGTAGGCCTACATAGAAATGTTTATCTATCCTTAAAATTTTTAAATATTTCTCTCAGTAATATACAATGTATTTATGTAAATTCATGTATTTTTTAAACAAATGATTTAAATCTGTTACATGGGGCTTGTATCACAAGTGGTTTGATCATAATGCATTTGAACCTAGGTAGTTTCTATAAGTTGCAGCATGATTATAAATGAAAGTCATCCAGACCATTTAAGTCTTAATTATGGAGAATGTTGATGAGTATAGAGGATATGGGAATTAAATGTATTGCGCACATAAAATTTGGTTTCAGAGAGAACTTGGGAATAGGACACACATTTAGCATATGCTCACTCAACAGATTGCTATTTCTATTTTGCCCAAAGCTTAATACCAAGTTAGCTCAGGTTGGACTGAAAGTAGAATATACAACTAGTACAGATATACATCAATGTTCGTTCTCTTGCCCCCTATTTCATGTACCACATACGCATTTGTCATTTAATTGATCACAAAACTAGTATTTATTTGACAAGAATATTTTTATGACATTTTAATTTGATTAATTTATATCTTAACATTTATATATATTTTCAAGCAGATCTACATTATCTGTTAGTGTAAATTTTTACCTGCTGCACAATATATATCAAATGTGTACTCAGTAATAAATCTAATAAATCAGGCTTTGGAAGAAAGTTATTGACTTTTTTCTTTCATGTAATTACTATTATTGGCAACTCAAAGGACAATTGTTACATAAAATGTGATTAATTTTAACATGATTTAAAACTCTACATAGGTACAAAGCACTGTGGTAAACAATCTATGGTTAAAGTACCTAAATCTCAATTTCAAAGTAGAGATAACTCTTGTATTTAACGTATGCCAATCTTTTAAACTAAACACTTGTTTAAATTTACTTATCCAACTCAATTTTAAATAAATATGCACAAACATTAATTATTTACTTTCAGTCATGTCTTTTTCATCTTTTCCAGGGGATGTACTACCTAGATAGAAAAAAATGACAAACCAATTATATGAATGAATGACATATATGCAGTAAATCATGTCCTTAATCTACTATTTGATTCAACCTATCCAACTCAATTTTGAATAAATATGTACAAAGATTAACTATTTACCTTCAGTCATGTCTTTTCCATCTTTTCCAGGGGATGTACTACCTAGATAGAAAAATAATGACAAACCAATTATATGAATGAATGACATATATGCAGTAAATCATGTCCTTAATCTACTATTTGATTTAACCTATCCAACTCAATTTTAAATAAATATGCACAAACATTAATTATTTACTTTCAGTCATGTCTTTTTCATCTTTTCCAGGGGATGTACTACCTAGATAGAAAAAAATGACAAACCAATTATATGAATGAATGACATATATGCAGTAAATCATGTCCTTAATCTACTATTTGATTCAACCTATCCAACTCAATTTTAAATAAATATGTACAAAGATTAACTATTTACCTTCAGTCATGTCTTTTCCATCTTTTCCAGGGGATGTACTACCTAGATAGAAAAATAATGACAAACCAATTATATGAATGAATGACATATATGCAGTAAATCATGTCCTTAATCTACTATTTGATTTAACCTATCTAACTCAATTTTAAATAAATATGTACACAGATTAACTATTTACCTTCAGTCATGTCTTTTCCATCTTTTCCAGGGGATGTACTACCTAGATAGAAAAATAATGACAAACCAATTATATGAATGAATGACATATATGCAGTAAATCATGTCCTTAATCTACTATTTGATTCAACCTATCCAACTCAATTTTAAATAAATATGTACAAAGATTGGCGATTTACCTTCAGTTGTGTCTTTTTCATCTTTTCCAGGGGATATACTATCTTGATAGAAGAATAATGAAAAACCTATTGTATGAATACATGAATTATATATGCAGTAAATCATGTCTTTAATCTACTACCTGAAAAACGTAAAGCAAAATGTAAAAATGAATATTTAATACTGATATTTAGTGTGAAAACAAGGAAGAAATCATGACTTTAACATGGAAAAAAGTAAAATACACTCTTAATATTATTCAATTTAAATATTGCATTGATACTATATTATTTAAAAGTTTCAATTAAATTTAAAAAGAGAGATTTATGAAGCTAGAGTTCATCCATTTATTACAACCACACAAAGAAAAAAAAAAGTGGAGAGCAACTTATAGCCGAGTCCGATGGAGATGTGTGGTAATGGCTCTTTGCTCCTCCGAGGTTACAAAAGAATAAGAAGTCAAGACACAGAAAAAAGGATGAGGAATCTTACAATTAAATTTGTCAGTTTGATTGTATTACTAACTAGTGTATCAGTGTATTGTATCTTTCATGTCTTTTAATACAACAATCTCTATAATTATTCTATTTCTAATGGGCAGAAAAAAGTATTCCAAAATAAAATTCAGTTTTTTAACTGGAATTTATATGACAGAAAAATCAGTGCGATAACAATCTGTATTGGAAAGTAAATGATTTTTTTCCTAGCCAAACTTAAATTTGAAAATTTTTTATGTTGGTATTTTACCAAAAGATTATATTGTAATCAAAACAATTTGGCTCTAATAGCAATAATCTGGGTGAAATTGATAGTTTTCTCCATACAGTAGAAACAGTGGTACCTCACCATGGCTTTGTGGAATAATGAAGCATGACAGTATTATAATATACGAGCAAACCCAAAAAGTAGCATACACCGCTATTTAGTTGTTTTATTTTCTACTTTTTAGTAATTCATAATTTGTGAATTCGACACTACCAATGCTACAACAGAATTTTTTTTTTGCTTTGAAACACTATCAGTAGCTCGTGAAGGACGACTATCGTCACCCACCTCCACTCACACCCCCCCCCCACCTCTGTGAAAGCAGCTGCCCATGACGACAGTTTACAGACGACAATGAAAAGATCAAGCAGAACTTGCTATTGTCTCCCCTTAGTTTCAAATTATTTAAAAATTAAATTATCTGCCCTTAATAACCGTCACTAATTTGACCAGGCTCTTGGATTGTAAACAGCTCTCCGGAATGGTGGGGGTGGTAGCCATATGATCTGTAGAGCATGCCTGGAGAGCGAGGAACGGGGAGGGTCAGTGTGCTTACGTGGTGGTGTCGTGCATGGTCCCTCCATGAAGAGAATTAGATATATAGATGTCCTTAAGGATTCAAAAGTTGCAATTTAACTGCAGTAAATAAGAGAGAAAACATCATAATTCTTGCAATTAAAAGTAAACATTTACCATTTTCTACTTTAAGCAATTTTGTGATATTTAACAAGCTAGTGTTGTTATACATCTGTCCTAATAAACATTGATCTGTATCAGGAATTGGTACTTTTACAGTTATAAGAACATTTCCATTTTCAGAATTTTTCTGACAGTAGCAAATCATATTTTCATCATCTTTACACTTAGCAGTATTTACAATACAGTGCTGAAAAGAAAGCAGAAAAAGTATTATAGTAGTAGATATAGACCATTACATTTAATACAAAATTTTGCCTAAAAATCACAAATCAATAACAGGGAAAATTAACAAAATTAACTGATGTAAGGAGACTATGTGTCAAGATATGCCATAAGCCATAGACCGCAGGCAAATCAAATACTTTTTGTATGACCCCTAGTTCAGAAGGACGATAAGTATGGAGCACATACTATTTTTCAAAGTGCAAAGAAATAAAGCAAAATTCTAGTTAGTGTATGACAGGTCGTAGGTATTTGTAAATTTGTGTATGTAAATTTTTTCCAAAAAAATATTGGTCTAAACATATTTATTCAAATGCATTTAGAAAAATATAGTTGATTACTTACTTTAAATTTTTTTAAACATTATTATTGAATCACAACATAAATTAAATTAAAAATCATACTCACTCTGTTACAGTTTATACAATTAGAGTCGCAAATAAAAAATGTAACAGATCTAGTTTTATCTTTATCCATGAAACAGGGCGTACTGTGTACCACAATAAAAGGATCTTGTGTTATAGACTCATTATAATATAAATTAGTGGAACTGCATAAAACATCTATTGGGAGAAAAAAAAATTGAGTTAATTTATTTATCTCATGAAAAACTATGAATTATGTTGTTTAAGCAATTATGGCCTGGAAATATATTTTTAACTTTGACGTAACTTTAGAATAAAAATCTATATTTAGCTTATCTAGATATAAACCCAAAGCGCTATGACAAAGCTTTAAAGTTTTGACTAAGAAGTAAGTAATGATCTTTGCCCAAATTTCAATAGCATGTAATATATAATGAGATTTAAATATTTAATTAATAAACATGGTTGAAAATATGACAACCACAACTTAATTATCTCTAAAATACCTTTCTCAGCCTTGTGTCTATCTTTATTTTTATCTTCAAGCTTTGTGCTATCTATTAAAAGAATTAAAAGAAAATTTATATTAGTTTAGATTTTAAATAGGTTTAAACATGACTTTCTTGTAAACTGATCTGTCATGTTATGAACAGAAATGCAACAGATAACATAAAATTGTCATATTTTTCAGTGTAGTATACAAGTATAATATAAGGCATGTTTGCATAGGTAAAAGTAGGTCATGGTAGCTAGATCATAAGTTGTTTATTATATTTCTGAAACTTCACAATTTAACACTACGTTCAAAATAGCATAAAGGCTACATTGTTTAACTACTTTAAAAAGTTAGGTACTGTATTTTCCGGTGTATAACACAACTGCTCATGCAAGTTCCTTATCTCCCACTTCAAATAGTCTGTGATATAAAGTAAAGTTCCTCTTCCAACCTGACCAGAGTTTCTTCTATGCATCTCTTCGGCAGAGCCCATAATTGCTTTTGCTTACTTAATACTTAACTCTGTGTCTTAACTTTTAAAGTTTATTACTAATATTAGGCCAATAAGCGTAAATTGTATGTAGCAAATTGATAATAATGTCATGAAAATGAAAAGTAGCGAGGGGAAGTGGATCTATTTTCTGCCTTTTTACTCATGCCATACAATATATAGGCTATTATAGGGCCTAGTATATAACTAGATATAAATAGATTTTATATATATATATATATATATATATATATATATATATATATATATATATATATATATATATATATATATATATAATAAAAATAATAGGCCTTCATAACATGAACATAAAAATAATTTAAAAAAAAAATGTTTAAAAGAGAAAATAATAGACTGCTTACCCACAGCCACAAATGTCAATGTAAGTAGTAAATTTAGTAATAAATAAAAACCAACTGAATCCATGATTGTAGGTGGGCTGCTTAGAAATGAATCTAATATCTGAAAAACAGAAAAAAGCAACTACTAAACAGTGAATTTAAGACACATAAATAATAACCATTACAATGGTCTATATGTTAATTTTATAAAATTAGTACAAAGGGAGTTAGAGAGAACTTTTGAATAGTGTGCATGAAAAAATGAGGGGAGGGTGGGGAGGTTTACCCTATTGACTTTAGGCAAGACAAAAGCTTTATTTATTCACATCTAGAATCTAGTTTAATTTTGTGTTTAATAAGATTTCTTGTATTTAAGCTAACCTACCTTAAAATTAGCACTTATACTTTAATGATTTAGGGAATATTCTTCGCCGTGGTTAACGTTTGATAGTATGTTTTGTCTTCACCGGCAGTCGTAAGTTCTATAAGAGTCTCAGCTGTGTGTGTCGTTTATATATAAAAAAAAAACAACGGGTTTTCCCATAAATCAACAACAATATTCGCGATGATTTCCCGTTTCAGATTAAATCTAGATCTAGATGAGTGTTGTAATGGTATGTCCGATTATGACTTAATGTTTTGGTTCACGGGTGGTAGATCCGTGTCTAAAATCGGTAAATCTAGATCTATATTTATTTAAGTAAAATTTTAGTTTTTTTTTTTTGTTTTTTGTGTTTATTTATATGTCCACTGTTTAAGACTGTTTTAAATTTCTACAACCTAGCCAGCGGTTAATAATAATAAGGCCTACAACCAGAGTTTCTTCCAGGCATCTCTTGGGGGGGGGGGGGGGGGGGGGAATAAAGCGTCCCTTCTTGGTAAAAGAAAAACAAAACGCGATACATTGAGAAAATATCGATACTAGTCATAGAGAACAGCGATCTCTACTTGTGCGCTTTGTCGATGTTACACTTTGTGACTTTTAACCTGTGGAATATTTCATTGATTTTATTGAACTTATGTATCGCTAAAGACACAACAGGCAAAGATATTTAGCTTGACTGCCAGCAGCGCTCGAGAAATATGGCATAGAGATTGGTGAATGTCGAGGTCAGATATGTGATAATGAAGCTATTATGAAAGGAAAACGATATGATTATATCGTCGTCATAGTATTAATTCGCTTTGAGAATTGGAGGAAAAGGTTTCAAACACTTAGAATACTAAATTCGTACACTATTCCCCTGAATTGTAACAGCCTTACATGTTGAAGACACCAATGGTAAACCTTGGTCCCCGCAGGTGCCCTGTCAAAACGGCCCGGGACAAATCGGCCCTGTCAAAAAGCACCCGTTAATATAACCCCGTCTAATCGACCCCGACAAAACAACCCAGTCAAAATAGCCCCGTCAAAAGGGCCCCGACGTATTGGCTCCCGTCAAATCGGCTCCCGTTATATTGACTCGCGCTATGGTCGGCCCTAAACTTTAGGCTCCACGTATAACGGCTACCAGGGCCGTTATAACTCCCACAATTCATTAGATTAACGGGGACTCACTTACTCTAGAGATGGTTCTACTATTTATTAAATCAGTTCTATATAAGCGCCCATTTACTTTACAGATAACTTTGCATTAAAATACGTTAACTTTAGCGCGACTTTTACCATGCCCTACAGTTCATATAAAACGATAAGGGCACAATTATTTGAAATGATATCACTACAATGTATAAAAAAACAATATGTTGATGCACAAACCCATATTATTGAGCGTATCCTTATAGTCTCTCAAAAACAATATGGACATTTTTATTCTATACTAGACTACCCGTCATCCGTTGGATAACTGTGGGTTTCGTGGGTCATCCATAAAAAACATCAAGGTCTGTCACTTATCGTCACAAAAAACCAGACCACACATTCAAAAAGATGTTTTTTATCTTTTAAAAACACCGAAAACACCGATTTCGGACTATCCCTTCATATACTGACGTCACAGGTGACCTACTCAACTCTACTTCACCTGCCCAGTGTCCCGCCAAGTCTGAGACAACATGTTTTTGTCGTTTAAAATAACGGTTCAAGCCAAGCATGTCTCTGACCACACTATCACTTCATATGCCTAGGACAAAGAATCAGATTAACTCTACTTCACCTGCCCTATATACCGCCAAGTTCAGATAGGCAACTTTATCATTCACATCTAAAAAATAAAATAAAAATTGAAAAAAAAATTATCATTGACGTATTGGTCTAGAACCTGTGCAACCCGCATGCAAGCCAATTAGATTACACTAACAACTTAGCTATTTAACTTGTGACGTCACAGATATATTTTTATACTATACTTTAATACTTTGAGTCTCCTTATGCAAATTGATTTACGCGCATAGGTCTAGATCTAAGTCTATTAGTAGTAGCTTTCAAATTAAGATTTTTATAAAATAATGAAGGTCTGAAATTATCTAGATCTAGATAGAATTATCTAGATCTAGATTCTACGAGTCGTTTGCTTAAGTCTTAAGTCTAGTATTTGCGTAACTCTTGCTAGATCTAGAAATTCTAGATCTAGAATCTAGATCTAATCATTAGACCTATTCTAGCTAGATAGATCTAGATCTAGATAGATAAATCACAAAGATAATAAGGTTAGGGCTAGGGTTAGGCTTAAACCAATGTCTAGCGTTGGTTTGGGTTTTGTGTTAAGCTTTAGGCTAAGGTGGATGCTTAGGTTTTGGTCTTTTTGTTAAGGCTAGGATTAAAGTAGTATATAGGTATAGAATTCTAATTAGAGTTAGGAATCTAACTTGAGAGAGGGGGGGGGGGGGGGAGAGGGGGGTAATGGACAGGGGGGGGGGGGGTAATTGCCCCGCGGGGTAAATACTGTGGGCAAAATGTCCGGGGGTAATTTCCGGGGGGGGGGGGGGTGGTAATTTCCTGTAGCCTCATATAATACATCAAAACGAATAAAGGATGCCCCTACAATTTATCAAAAACAATATGGATTTAATTACTCAGCAAATACCCTTAAATTTTATCCAAATGTCCCCAAATGTTTTTAAAATTTAAAATTATGATGGGTATAATTACTTCAAATATATTATATGAATATAAGCTTACCTACTACAAAGAAGCCCCTGCAGTGCATAAAAATAATTATGGACATAATTACTCTATGGATCTCCTTGAAAAGTAGTATAACGAATATGGGCATAATTACTCTACGTCTTTAAAGATGCCCATACAGTGCATATGCATTAATGGGCAAAAGTATTCTAAAAGATGCCCCTTCACTATGCTAAATAAATATCAGAAACACACACTTTAATATAAAGACCGCATGTATTAAAGAAATGTTTAATTACTATTTATATACTAAATCCCTCTTTTTCCATAAAAGTTGTGCAATACAGACAATAAAGACGATTGAGTATTACAATTTGTTTTGGGTGAGATTAGTAAATAAATAAATCAGTCAGCAGTTAGAGTGGATACAAATGAAAACTTGTGATTACACAGTCAAGCTGTGGTTAATCTAAGTTTGTTACTAATGCCGTTAAAGTCGTCAATGAATAAAGCTACATTTGGCGAAAGAGGTGTAAATCGAACTTTTGCAAAAAAGTGAGTTAAGAGGTATTCTATTGATAAGAGTAGGGGGAGAGAAGGTATAACTTTCTGACATTTCAGAGTTGTGTGCGTATGGGAGAAGGTTTAGCTTTCAGAGACATTTTGTGACAATAAACTCTACGGCGTTAACCCCCACTCATAAAATACCACCTATATAGAAGAGAAGGTCGTTGAGATACGTATTGAATAGGTTGTTCGTTTAATACTCTTTTTGTAACAAAATTCTGCTATCTAGTAAGCATTGATTAGCCTTTACGACACTTTATCTATCTGTACACTGTTTCGTATGTCCATTTAACATTAGAAAATTGATGTTGCGAATTTTAGATGAATACTTATTTTTAAAGGCCTATACGCTGAAAAAAAAAATCATTTTATTTCCAAAGAATAGGCCTCCACATCCCGATCGTATTCTTCCCTTAAAATGTAGTTTTTGAATTTGGGGTCATCCATAAATGACGTCACGCTCTTTTTGGACTAGTTTTACCTCCCCCCCTCCCCTCCGTCACACGTAGTCATAAAAAGCCAGACCCCCCCCCCCTAAAATAACGTCACACCTCAGCCTACAACCTTCAAAATTGCTGCTGAATTTTCCTTAGAACATCGATATTTTTCCAAAATCTTGTCAGAACTCAGTCGATATAGAGTATTTTGATCAATTCCTATTACAAGTTATTAAAACCGTTTTCTAAAACGCGAAATAATGCAAAAAAGTGACGTCATACCATCTGAGCCCCCCTTCCCCCTCATCACACACCGTCACAAAATTACAGACCCCCCCTCCCCCTATAAGTGTGACGTCAGTTATGGACGATCCTTTAAAAAAAAATATTCCCAAAACAGATATAAATATTGATGATGAAGTATGAACACGTAAGGGGTTTCTTAACTGTTTGCTTTCAGAGTTTTAACTCCTTGATGGGATGGGCTCTGCCACCAGTCAGACTAACGCATCATTTCCGGGTCACTGAACCGCCTGAACACTGTTTTGCCTCTCACCCCGTGCTGGATATCCAATCAACGTACAGTAACAAGCAGTGCGGTAGCGAGGTCGGGTGTCACCCGGTGCGGCACTTAATGGTGTCACCCCCTCAGCGGCGTAGCGATTTTCACCCCCCCCCCTCAAACTTTCGATTCCCCCCCCGTCAAATTTTTCTCTATATATTTTACTATTTTTTGCCTTGGTGTCACCCCCCCCCCCTAATGCGGTCCGCACCCCCCCCCTCGCTACGCCTCTGGGAACAAGTGCTAAGATAGACGATTGGGAACTCTGACTTTTATTTTTATACCGTCGCTAAACTAGGTAAGCTATCTCATGAACGACCAAACACTTTTATTCAAGTAAGCAATTTTATTTTTGTGCATTTTAAAACTTGTTATTATGAAGGTATTTTTGTTTTTGATTTGTTCATTGTGTAGTTCGAATCACTGTAAATCGCTACTACATTTTCTTGCTCGCAGTGAAAGTTGCCGTTAGTAGACTAGCATTTAAAACAAACCATCGACTACACCTGGATATTTTTTTTTTAATACAAGGCATTAATTTACTTTTCTTTATGCGGGGGGGGGGGGGGATGGAAGGGTTTGAGAAGCTGGAGTCCGTAGGGCGTCTCAGAGTCAACCCAGGTCTAATTGATAGCTGACTCATGTTAGGGAAAGTAATGGTGGCTTGAAACCACAATAAGTTCATATGTCGATGTCAATGAAATAGGTGAACTCTGCTTCGTCTATCCCGTGGACCTCAGAGTCAGGAAGTGTAACTTTACTATTATTTTACTATGCGGGGAAGGGAGCGGGTCGGATTCTGACCCTACTCATTACACGCCTGCTGAATGTTTTGCTTGTTTTGACGTAGCATATGACGCTATTAATAGAACAACTGACCTAGATCTAGTAAACTAACGCTTGAGAGATAAGTGTTGTGTTTATTTAGAATATTACAATTTACATTGAGCTTATAAAGTTATAATCCAACTAATAATTTAACAATGTAACATAAAGATATAAAAAAGAGACAATGTGAATAAGTAACAAAGAAACTACAGCTGCAGTATAATAATAGAAGTGCGTTATATTTGATTGTGGTACAGTTGTTTTACAAACTCAAGAAAGTGACATTGTGCTACTTCTATAAAAACTAAAAGAAAAGGCTGATCTAGACCCATGTGAATCTAAGCATTACAAAAATGTAGTATCAGTCAATGTGGAGGAATGTATAAAGTTAGAGATAGACGCTAAGGATGGATATAGAGTATCGTACAGAGGCGTAGCGACCCTTCCCGGCGCCCGGGGACAAACTTTTCGATTTGCACCCCCCCCCCTCAAGATTTCGATTTGCACCCCCTCAATCTTTCGATTTGCACCCCCCCCCCGCTCGAGATTTCCAATAGCACACCCCCCCCCTTCAAACTTTCCATTTGCACCCCCCCCTCAAACTTTCGATTTGCAACCCCCCTAACCTTTCAATTTATTTTTCCAACCCATTTTGGCGCCCCATATGTCCCTTCTCCGCCCCCCCCTGGTATCGTAATTGGGGGTGGGAGAGTCAAAGGTTAAGGCATCCAGGTCAGAAAGGAGGGAGGGTGATATAGAGATGTGTCGTAGCTTGGCAGGTCAGTGGCAGAGTTTCTTCCAGTCATTTCTTGGGAAGGCTCCGCCCCTCCCCCCACCAAGGAAAATCACCCCCCCCCCCCCGAACGAAATGGAATTTATATAGTACATATATACTTTTAACAGTGCCCCCCCCCCAGAAAATTATAGCCCTCCCACATGAAAATTTCAAGTGCCCCCCCCACTCCCCCCCCCCCCCCGGAGAAAAAAGTCTGGGACAAACAGTGGTCAGAGGACGAATTGTGCGTGGTTTTGGACGTCTTTTGTTTTGATGAATACTTTTAGTAGAACATGACGATGATCTACTTAGCAATAAGATCATATGGATTAATGACATCAATGTATGTGTGAATGTCAATTGCATCTACTCCATCAACAACAGTTTTCAACTCTGTTTCAGCTACGTTGTAATTCAAAATCGCTGGTGCTTCTGTGAAAGGAAACAAAAATGCATTTACATTAACACTTTTGCTAGCTATTGTTTTTCACTTAAAGCACTTTTAGAGATTAACAAGGTAATAACTTACTTCTTTTCTTAAAAAAACAGATGACAAAAGTCATGGTGACCATAAAGCAAACCACACTAACACCTATTCCAATAAGTAGGCCTATAGTTTGAAGGAATGCTGAACTATTTTCTACAAAGCGGAAAAATAAAGTTATTAATAAATAATTCATTACTCCCTGAAATAGAAAAATGATATATCACTAAATAGTATAAAGATGATATAAGTCAATGAGTTAAACAAATTATGCAATTTATAAATTTCATGATGGATCGCTAGAGTGCTATAATGTTTTTGATATAATGTTGTTCTTCATGATGTAATGTGTTCTAGCTAAACTCTTTTGTCAAATGTAGTAAAATTCTAGCTTAACAGCAGCTAACAGTTGCCAGTTATGGTCAGATGGTGTCACGTCGCACACTTTTGCATTATGAAAAAGCAATGTTAGAAAACACATTTTAGCCGGTATTCCGCGTTTTAGAAAACTGTGTTAACAATTTGTAATATGAATTGATTAAAATATGTTGACAGTTCAGATTTTGGACAAATTTAACTGCAATTGGCCGAGGCGCAATGAACATATGAACTCTACTTCATCTGCCCAAAAGATCGCTAGGTCTGAAGAGGATTCTTTAATTTAACATTTCTTATTTGTAATCAAATGTCTAAGACTCGACCAAAAAACTTTTATCATTTGCTTCCTAACAGGTTTTTACGAAAACGAAATCAAGCAAACTACGGATAAATATGACAAATAAAGAAAATGGGTCAAAGAATAACACAATAAGCGAAGTTTGAATGTAGTCACAATTATCCGTTAATAAGAGATGTCAATTTTAATGTATGATTCAATCAGTGACACGTAATGGATTATTAAAATTACCGTTAAAACAATAATATTGACAGAGATGTTAGAATGGATTTTCCCGTTATGACCAAGGCACGAGGAGCATATACAGTAGAGTTCACCTGTACCAATGAGAGCTTGTTGGTCTCAGGAAAATTCTAATGACTTCAACCCAATTCGAACTCGGTACTTTCATGCAGAGGCGTAGCGACCCTTCCCGGCGCCCGGGGACAAACTTTTCGATTTGCACCCCCCTCGAGATTTCGATTTGCACCCCCCCTCAAACTTTCGATTTGCACCCCCCCCTCGAGATTTCGATTTGCACCCCCCCTCTCAAACTTCTCGATTTGCACCCCCCTCAACCTTTCAATTTATTTTTCCAACCCATTTTGGCGCCCCCTAAGGTCGGCGCCCGGGGAAATGTGTCCCCCCGCCCCCCCCTCACTACGCTACTGCTTTCATGTTATCAGTCTAGCGTGTATGAAACAAATGCGATACTTTATTCTTTTATTTAACACGAGCTGACCCGCGGCGTATCATACGCCGCTATTTAGTTGTTTTATTTTCTACTTTTCAGTAATTCATAATTTGTGAATTCGACAGTAACAAATGCTGCCACTGAAAATATTTGCTTAAAATACTAACCCCCCACCTTTCCCCTAACCCCCCCCCCTACCCCCCCCCCCCTCCCACCTTGAAAGCAGCCTCCTCTTAGTTACCTCCTGTAAGTTTAATATCGTTTTCAAAACTAAATTATCTGTCCCTAATAACCGTCACTAAACCCGGCTCTACGATTTGTAAACATTTAGTTTGACTACAGCTCACCAGCGCATGTGGGGTGGGGTGGGGGGTGGTAGTGATAGTGATAGAGAGAAAGAGAGGGGAGTGTAAGGCGCGCTTGCAGCTTGTTTTCTAGCGTCTCCTAGAAGAGAATTATATATATACGAGCCGACCCGCGGCATAACATACACCGCTATTTAGTTGTTGTTTTTTCTACTTTTCAGTAATTCATAATTTGTGAATTCGACAGTACCAAAGCTGACACTGGAAAATATTTCTTTAAAACACTATAAGTAGCTCGTTAAGGACCCCTTCCCCCCCCCCCCCCCAACGTTTAAAATAGTTTCAAACTAAATTATCTGCCCCTAATAGCCGTCACTAAAACCCGACTCCACGAAGGTAAGCATAGCGTGAATCACAGCCCACTAAGACCGTTTATGGGTGGGGATGGTAGGGAGCGCGTTTACAGCTTGTTTTCTAGCGTCTCCAGAAGAGAATTATATATATAGATAGATATTTTCTTATGAGCAGAATAAATTATTAATTCAATGTAAACTCGGTGTCACATTAATGTAGATTAACACACCTTCTTTGATAGAAAAGCCCATACACTAGACTAGCCTCTTGTCCATTATGGATATGTAGATGCATGTCTGTGAAATCCGAGTCCTGTAATTCAGTCAGTGTTAAAAGTACAATGCCATAGGGTAATATGGTATCCACATATTCGATAGTAATCATGGATTGATTCTGAGGTTCCTGAATTGCCTTCCCTGATATAAAAATATTTCTCATTTTTGTAAAGAATATACAGTATGGGTTCTGGGTAGCCAAAACACTTCAACCTTTATTGTAATGCTGTCCTTGTTTCTTTCCATAATAAACTGTATTATTTTTTTCAGAGTATTTCAGCTGTAATGGACCTGGAACATGAATAATTAATTAGCAAAATTAGAATTATATGTTAATATAGAGATTTTAAACAGGTATGCAAGTCAAATAAAGCTAGACTATAAGTAATATATATATTTAGAAAATCAACCATCTATTACTCTATATTACAATACATATTTTAAAATTTTTAATCCATTTTAAGCAATGTTTTTCCAATATTGTTACTCTTAACTCTGACTCTCATGCTTACACTTACATAAAACATAAATTCTCACACTTCTGGCTGTCTCATCTTCACTATGATTAGCTACACATGAATATAATCCCGTATCCTTGCAATCGCTATGCATCTGCCAATGTATACTAGTGTTGTCTTGAAATTGTGGGTTATGGAAGTTACTTCCCTTTTTGATTAGATTTATCGTCGGTGATGGGTTTCCTCCTGCCCTCGCATGTTAAGTTTAGTACATCAGATTTATTGACAGTTAAAGTCTTCACATCTTCGCCATTTACCAGGAAAACTCTTAATTGTTGGCTTATCTATCAGACATATTTAGCATAGCATGTACAAAGATCCAACTAATATTTGAAATGTTTTTGAAAAGAAAAGTAATGTTATTAATGTCTAACTAAATATTAAAACCAATCATAATAGAAATTATTTATACTTAAAATTGATTAACTTTCAGAAAATTTCAAATAACATTTATAAGTGAAGATACTTTAATCGTTTTTACCTCAAAAGACACTGAAGACTATAATACAAGAAAGATGAACATTTTCTTTTGTTTTAATATTCCATTAGTGTTTAATAATTCAAAACTAATAAGCGTTGTGGCATGTGTATTATAAGTTAATAATACTTACACAAAACATTAATTAGAATTTCTGTTGTATTATTTCTGTAAAGTACCCTCTGGTGTAATGCCGTACAAATACAACGTAAGCTGTTTTGTGTCCTTGATATCGTGCAATATTCTCATTCATCACTCATGTTCAGAAGTTTCTGATTGCATTCCAATTCAACTCTTGATGTACCTCTCATTAATAAAACAATCAATGCTGTACAATCCTTCTTCTATGTTAAAATGCTTTGAATCTTCTGAGTTATAATTTATTTTACTAATTAAATTTTCTAAAACAATAACTGGTACTGATTCTGTAAATACAGAAGATAAATTATTGTGATCAAGGTATGTATAGTATAAAACCGGTAAACATGTGTATCTGTTAGTATTTGTATTTACCTTTGTTGTATTCTATCACAATACTATTTCCAATACCATGTCCTTCATTGTGTTTGTAACATTAGGATAAAGGACAACATTAAACTCGTAACGGCCTTCATTGATCTCACGAATCTTTATAAAACAATCCGCGTCAAAATAAACTGGAGTGCTGGTATTTTGAGTATGTGAACACTCGAGACTTAGGTTTTGAAAGTTTTCTTTCGGTTGCTGCAAAATAATTTGTTATGATGGATTTT